TAGATAGATAGATAGATAGATAGATAGATAGATAGATAGATAGATAGATAGATAGATAGATAGATAGATAAGCGGATTGTTATATTATTTCTCTGCTCACCTTTTAGTTTGAGAAAGATTAATAGTGTGCCCTATTATATAGGATTGCCTTTTACCAATGTCACTCTTTGACATTGTGTGTGTGTGTGTGTGTATGCATGTATATGTGTGTGTACACGCACACACACATATATAAATCATCTCGCTCTTTGCTGCCTTTCTTCTCTCCCCAATATTTACTGTTCACTATGTGATCCTTCCGATGTTGATGGTCCCGGGCAATTCAGTAAATAATACATAAAAGGGATGTATAACGTATTTATTTTTTCCTGTTTGGTGATCATTTAATTTTAAAAATAGAAACACTTGCTCTTTGTATTCCAGGTTGGGAGGGGGGTGCTTAAAAAAAAGAAACCACGAAGTGAAAAGCATTCTGTCTTTGCTCTCATAAAATACAGGAAGAGAATATTATTGTCAAAGGAGGTAAAAGTTTTGGGGGTTTTCCGTTGTCTTCTCTAGGAAGCGATTCCTTTCATAATAGTTGTAAAAAAAAAAGCATAGCGAAACCACTCAATGCACCTCTTCCCTTACGGCAGATGGCTACTTTGGGTCCACGCCCACTAAGGGCTCGGACCCGCCCTGCTCAACGTTCTAAGCCCCGCCTTCCTCCTCCTCCTCGTCCTCCCGCCCTCTCTCTTTCCGGTGTGTTCTGTCCACTTCTTATCTCTTCTGCCTGCTGGTCGGAATGTTCGCCGCGCCCACGCCGGCTTCCGCGAAGTTGCTTGGACCCTTGTGACGTCATTTCGATGACTTTCGGCACTCGGAGAACTACTGCAATTGGATACCTCCCTCCCTACTTGGTTTCTTCGAAAGGAGGAGGGCGGCTCACACGCGACGCACATTATGCATAGGTTACAGTAATTTCAACCAGAATAAACTAAGGCAGGGGTGTCCAAACTTGGGAACTTTAAGAGTTGTGGACTTCAACTCCCAGAATTCCCCAGGCAGAATTGTGGGAGTTGAAGTCCACAAATCTTAAAAGTTCCCAAGTTTGGACACCCCTGAACTAAGGTTTCATCTGTTTACCTGACTGTTAACTGGCTTCATCCAACACTAGTCTAGGCTGAAACAAGATTTGGCTAGGAGATGGCTTATTAATGTGTCTTGCAAATACTCTCATGGTTTTGTTTTTAGTACAGGATCAAGATTTAGAGCTTTCCTTGGCTGACACTACTACTTACATTTAAACAGGCAGATGTTACTCAGGATATTAACATCGGGAGGAAAGTGTAGATTATCATCTAGACAGTTAGACAAGGGTTGGCTTGTTCAGCAGTTCTGTTTTGTACAGTCCCAGTTAAGGTTGTTAGGTGAATCCCAGGCAACTGCAAAGTCTCTGGATCATTTTGTGACCTGCTTCTCCATTGAGTTTGCTTGTTGGGAGTCAGCAGTAAAGGTTGCAAATGTTTTAAGTTGTGAGAGCTTCATCACCGGAAGCTGTCAAGAAGAGACTGGACTGCCATCTGTCAGGAATGGTGTAGAGCAGTGATGGCTAACCTTTTGCCCTCACATGCCGAAATCACGCCCATGTGCATGCTCACACTCACAATGCAATGCGCCTTGCCCCCTTGTGCATTCATGCATGACCCACTGTCCTCCCTCCAACCCCTGCATGCACGCAACCCCCCCCCTTGTGTATGCACATGAACCCCCCCCCGCACCTCATTTTGGACTTAGCAGGCCTCCCTGAAGACTTGTGAAACCAAAAATGGAGTGCAGGGGTCGTGCTGCATCCTTCTGCTCTCCCCCCACCCCTCATGCATGCAGGCACAACCCCCCACGCATGCAGGCACAACCGCACATGCACACAGGTCTCCCGCATGCGCAGCAGAGACCCCAAAATCCGCTGGCATGCATGTGTGGTGTAACTGAGCTGGACAACGGCTTGCATACCTGCAGAGAGGGCTCCGTTTGCCACCTGTGGCAGTGCCATAGGTTCACCATCATGGGTGTAAAGGTCTCCTGCTTGGGCATTGTAACTTTGAATGGTCACTAAATTAACTGTTGTAAATTGAGGACCACCTGTATTCTATAATCCTGTAAAATTCAGATTGCAAGGATGAAGATCTCTTTTGTAAAGTATAGTAATAAAACGTATCAGGTTGACAATATCTGGTTTAGTAGTTAAGGTAATTTCAAAACCTCCTAGCTTTATAAACAGTCTTGCCTTTGAATGATTAGAATTACAGTGAAATTCTATACAGGTTTGCGCACATATAAACCCCACTGAATTTAATGGAGTTTTAATATCATGTTAGGTGCTTTGGAAAATGAAGACTCTATAATGGCCTCCAGACCTCCATCGTACCAAATCAAATCTTAAATTATCCCTTACATTTCAGTTCCTGTATCACCTCCACTCTCTCAGAGGAGACAGCCTGCTTGATTTTATGACATTGCTGCTCCAAGGTTGCAAACACAGTGCAAGTCTTGTAATTTAATCCTGTGAAGTGAGTAATAAATTACAGTCCAAGGCAACTCACTGTATAGTCAAAGCGTGCTTATTTCCACTGACATTCTTGGAAATACGTAGTATCTGATATATACCTGTTTCCTTAGAAATATGACACATGAAACACATGAAATTCAGTAGCATGTGGAATGTTCAATTAGCATATTAACAGAATAAGTTAAAATCATTAAATAGGTTCTCAATGGTATCATTTTATGCTGTGACTAAAACATATTTTTATTCATTTATCTCCCAAAAGATAAATCAAGTCCTATATCAGTGATGGCTAACCTTTTTTGGCTCCTGTGCCAAAAGCGGGGGGAGCGCAGGGGGGTCGTGCATGGGCGTGCCACACCCATAATGCTATGCGCGTGACACCCACCCACGTGTGGATGTGCTCGACCAGCCCTCCCCCCAAGCTTTTGGTACANCTTCCTCTCCACAAACCCCACTCCCTTGTAGCACTGAGGATGTTCCCTCGTTGGGCCATGAAACATCTGCAAGAAAACCACCAAGCTCAGAGAGCACCCAGGACCCCACAGTCCTCCTCCCCCTCCTCTTTTCCATAACCCCCCCTTCTTCTAGAACTGATGATGTTCCCTAGTTGGGCCATGAAAGGTCTGCAAGAAAACCACCAAGCTCAGATAGGAGCTCGCCGTTCAAGCCTGGGCTACGAATATTATCTTCTCTTGAGATCAAATTGCGGATTTCCTACAAGACCAAGAATGTCTACCTCAGTGAGGTTTTACGAGCTTTTGCTGTCCTGGGCTAATTGTAGGTGGGTAGGAGTTTTTGAGATGGGGAAAGGCAACATTTCTAACATTGCCAAGGGTTTCCGTGTTTTAAAATACACCCTCGTGCTTTTCGGTGGCTTTTAAGGCCTCGTGCATGCTTGCCGCCGAAAGCCTTCGGTTAATGTTCCGGTAATTACAGCGCAGAAGATTCCAGAAAGTAGTCCTCAGGTCGCGGTTGAAGAAAGCGTAAATCAAGGGGTTGATGAGGGAGTTGGTGTAGCCCAACCACAGCAAAGTCCGCTCTAGCCACAGTGGGATACAACCGCACCGGCTGCCGCAGAGGAAAGGCCTGGCGGTGGACATCAAGAAGAAGGGCAGCCAGCAAACGGTGAAGGTGCCCACGATGATGCCCAGGGTCCTGGCGGCCTTCTGCTCCCTCTTGAAGATGGAAATGTTCTTGTGGTCCTCCTGGAGGAACTTGGACAATGTGGCGCACTCTTTGTGGCTGCGTTTGGTGCTCCGCGGGGGCCGTACGGCGGAGTCTACGCAGACGATACGGTCCTGGTCGTGAGGTCTCGGGAAGTCCACGAACCGATGTTTCCGAGCACTGGCTTTGGCCGCTTTGTAGATCCTGTGGTACATGACCAGCATAACCGTGGTGGGGATGTAGAAGGCCACACCGGTGGAGTAGATGGTGTAGCCAACATCCTGGCTGATGAGGCACACTCGGTCCACTGTGACGTTCTTGGCCCAGCCGAACAAGGGAGGGAGCGTGATGGAGGCGGAGAGCAGCCAAACTACAAAGACCATCTTGGCCATCAGTTTCCCGTCTTGTCTCACCGGGTAGGTCAAAGGTCGAGTGATTCCCAGATATCTGGAAAAACATTGATTCAGATTGAGCATAGAGAGAGACCTCGGGTTACGACCGGCCGCTTAGGGAACATGCAAAGTTATAACAGACGTCTGCGAGGGTCACTTACGACCCGGATTAGAAGCTCCAATAGGTAACCTTTCCCACGGTCACATGATCACATTTCGGATACTGGGCGACCCAGATTTACAGCTTGTTTGAAGCATCCTGCAGTCACATGACCATGATTTATATTTTTTGTGGGAAACTGGTATTTAAGATTATATTAGATTACAGATTGTATTAGATTACAGATTAGATTAGATTACAGATTAGATTAGATTACAGATTAGATTAGAGTAAATAAGATTGAGATTAGAATTAGATTAAATCACATTAAGATTTAGATTAGATTTAGATTAGATTTAGATTAGATTTAGATTAGATTTAGATTAGATTTAGATTAGATTTAGATTAGATTTAGATTAGATTTA